CTCCACTGCTGATGGGAAGGCAAGACAGGTTAGAGTGCGGCAGGACAGGCAGTGTTATTTATAGGTGGGCTCTGCCATCCATGGCTGGGGCGCTCAGTGACTCTCACACAGAGGGCATTGTAATATGGTCATTCAGCTTTCACAGCACCTTAAGCAGTTTAAGGTTAATGTTTGTGCTGAGGTCCGAGGGAACAGTTGACCGAGTCCTGCTCTGTCCTGCTGGCTGAGGGGCCGGGGGGTGGTAGGTATGGACCTACACTAGGACACTGATATGTGCCATCGTGTCGCTAGGAGGTGCCTCAGTCGGTGAAACAGGGTTTGAGATATCCTTTGACAGTCCCTGTTCCAGGGATGAGATGTTTATTTTGCCCAGTCAGGATGTGGATTGGACCTTACTCTTAAATGCTTGGCTCTTCCCATGCTGTGTAGGGAAGATGTCGGCACCAAAGCCCACACCCTGGACAGGAGGCACCTGAGCCTGCCATCTGGGGGACTTGCATCCTTTCACTTACCTGGGCTTCCACTTCAGGGACCAGAATAGAATATGGGACAAAGCTTAGGCATGGCTGAAGCTGTCTCAGTCCTATTCCAGCACATGAGTTTGGGCTCCCCAAGGGAGATGTGCTCTTGCAGCAGTGAGGCGTGCTTCCTGCTTTCCAAATAAACAAATGTGTTTGTTTTGAAATTAAATGAGATGCCATTTGTAGAAGATGTCAATACAGGGCTTTGCAAATGTGGGTAAAGCCTTCGAGCCTGCGCAATGGTTTTTTTAGGTGAGAAGCATGGGTCATCTACCGCCACCACCTGCGAATCCTAGAATGCTTCCATCAACGCTGTCTTTGTACAATCCTAAACATCCACTGGTCAGATTATGTGACTAATACATCTGTTCTAGAACAAGCAGCAATCACAAGTACTGAGGCCATGTTGCTGAGAACACAGCTGCGCTGGGCAGGGCACGGCTCAAGGATGAAGGACCACCGGCTCCCTAAGATCTTGCTTTATGGTGAACTTGCCACCAGCTGCCGCAAGAGAGGAGCCCTGGAGAGAACATTCAAGGACTCCCTGAAACAACATCTCAGCCTTGGCCACATTGATCAACATAACTGGTCTACTCTGGCCTCCAATCAGGAGGCCTGGAGACACACCATCTATAACGCTGCTGATGCCTTTGAGAAAGCTCACAGGATCACCCTTGAGGAGAAAAGACAATGCAGAAAGAATCATGCCCTGCAGAATATACCATCTAAGGAGTCTTTCTGCTGTGCCTTTTGCAACCAGACATGCCTGTCTCGTATTGGCCTTTTTAGCCACCAGCGTGCTTGTAACAAACATGGGTAGAGCCCTTCCCAAAGCTTCGTTCGCGAAGCCCAGCCATTTATGAAATGAGATGCCATTAAAAGTAGCTGTAATATCAACACACTCTAAAAAGCTGAATGGCCTTTGACCTCACTGCAATTACTGTGATGAGATTGGGCTAGTGACAGGAACAGCCTTGTTTTAAACTGACCCAGTGAGAAGATCCTTAATTGCAAACTAAATTCAGTACAAGCCATTCCTACCTCCAGTTTAATCTTCTCCACAGTAATTTCTTACACTGTAAAGAAGTAGCAACTAACCATTCACTGTTCAAACTCCATTCACTGCAATGGCAGTTGCCATCTTGTTTTAGTCTGTTTTATAATATCTTCTGTAGTTTTGCTGGTGCAGCAATACCAGTTGGCAGGGATTAGGTTGGTGGATTACTTTCCACTTTGTGACAGTCAGATAAAATTACTTTTGCACTGTCCACGTTACCCATTGCTGCAGTAGCAGTAGCTGCGCCAGTCATCAGTGCCATGCATTTTCAATAAAAGGGTATTAAGTTCTTCCTCAGCTTGTTGTTGAGCAAATTTCCATATAGTCATAGTTACTGGTAACTATTTGACACTTGCACTTGTGAGATGGTATAATTTGGACATTTTCCATAACATTTTGATTGTCTTTGAATTTGGAACAAATACAAAAATTCAGAGCACTTGCAGTGCTGTCAGTTTTCCAACACTTTGTGCTTTTCTGAAAGTCCCACTTCTTGGAAGCATTACTGTCTTTGTTCAAAAGCTCTTCAAATACATTTCCAATCGCAAGAATGAAAGTAAAAGTATGTAACCCCTAGAGAAAAAACATAGCAATTTTTAAAAAAGGACTTTCAACACAATTTTTTAAAATCAACTTCATGACTATAAGCCAATTTAATGATTTAGGGATTATTGAAAGGTTGTAGTTGGTAATGCTCATTTTTTCTATATAGATTAATAACTAGTTTGGTATCATTAGCACAAAAGAACCCCACGAAGAGCAAGTTTTAAGTCAGCTGCTAATTACCTTTGAGAACAAATTATTCAAATTAGCCAGTTTTCTAAAGACTTGTAGACTGTAGAACAGAAAACACAGAAATTCCTCTAGTTTTAGTATTTAATATAATATGCTATTATCTGATAAAGATTTGTAGCAGAGAAATTTTGTTCTGTTTAGGACTAGCTTCCTGCAGGCCTTTTTCCCCCAGGATACATGGCGTATCTCTGCCTTGCGTGTGTTTGTGGTGACCATTATCTAGATAGGTAAGAGTGGATTGGACTCCCTCTCTGTTTATTCATCCCGAAAAAGGCTGTGTGTAGCTTTGAAGCCTGTCTTTGCTTGTGGACTCAGGTTGTGCTTCAGCACTGTGGGTTCGAAGTGATTTCAAAGAAAAGCCAAGACCAGTTGTTGTGGCAGTAGTGGAGCTACTGCAGCTCATTTTCCCATCAATCAGTGTCTTACATCCCTACACACTGCTGCATAAATCCTTTTCTTTCCCCTCGTTTATCAGGGTCTCACCAACATGCACATAAAAATATATAGATAACCCCCATTGGGCAGGTCCAGTGGTTTGCATCTCCCTAATCTTCAGTTTCTGGAAGGCTTGTAGAAAATTAATCTTGGGTTCTCTAATTCAGCAAATGAGTTCAACAGTTGTTAGAGGGGAGATAGATGGGCAGTCAGACAAGATGACCACATCAGTATAATTTCTTTTGGAACCTTGGCCATAAAGGAAATAAACTGATGTAAGAAACTTGCGTGTTGCTGCTATGTGGCAGGTCAGTGAGAAATGAAAGTTGTTTGGACCTCAAGATTGCTCAACTGCTTGAGAGAATCAAGTCTTGCCATTGTGGTCCTCATCATAAAGTTGCCTTCACTCGTAGCACTAATTGGTAAATTCATCAGAGGTACTGAAGAGACTGATCTCATCTTGTGCTCCTTATCCTAAGCAGGGCTGATGGAGCAATCAGAGTCAAAACAGGAGAGCCTCATCCAGTTAGTGTAAGTACTGGAGGATCATTATGATGAATTGCGACAACCTGTAATTCCCTGTAGTTCCCTACAGATACTGTTGATTATTAGTGTCGTAGTTTGAGACTCCTAAAATCCAATTCCCGAGTCCAAGCCCCCCTCCCACATCTCACCCCAGTGTGAGATGGGTTTTCCAGACACAACACAAGACTCAATATGGGGAGAAGGGAATTATATTACAATGACTACACAAATAAATATTATAATACAGTATATACATAATCTTAACTATCTCTCCTATGATAAATCAGTATTTACAATGGATCAATCTCTTCTCCCTCCAATAAAAGTCCAGAAGGGAAAAGGAAAGATCCTTTCCACTCTCAGGGCAGCAGTGTCTCTCTTCTTTCATGCAGCAGCTGTAGCTGGATTGTTGTAGCTGGATCTCTTTCCAATATACACAAGGAGGTCTCCTCTCACCCCTCTTGGCCTTTCGACTCCAAGCAAAGGTCTCACCCGTGGACTGCCAGCAGGGACAAAACTCGCTTCACCATGGGCATATCACGAAGTGCAGGGGCATCTTCGTGAAAGTCCCTTCCTCAGGGGATTTACCTCTGAGTCAGAACGTCTCAGGCAGCTTTCAGTTGAAAGTCTTTACCTCAAGAGTTCCACCAGAGCTCCTGTGCTCTGTCTCAAAACTACCAGCTTGGCAGCAGTGGGGGGGCCAAGGTCACCCCCTCCACATTCCATCTGGCTGTCCCAGTCCAGCTCCGGGACGCCTTTGAGCTTTTTAGCTCCTCTCTCCGGTACTGCTGCATTCTAAGACTCCCTTCAAGTAGGAGTCCACCACCCCTCCTCTCTAGGAAGTCTCAGAGGGGTTTTGGGGAATTCAATTCAGTTCTTACCCCAAACTCTCTCTCTGTAGAGCTTAGTCCTCTCTCTCTGTCTCTCCTTTAGAGATCTCTGTGTCTTCCTGCTTGGCTGCAGGCTGTTTTTGCTGCATCTTATCTCTTGGCTTTCAGCCATAGTCTCTCCATTCACTGCTGTCTCTGCTGCTGTTCCTGCTGCTGCTCACAGTGGAGAAACTTTCCCCAGCTCTTAGCTACAGAAACCTGGCCCAGTCTAACACTGTTCTAAGTTCCTGCAGCCCCTCAGCTGGGGGCTGGGGGGGGGGCCTAGCCCCCAACGGGGCTCCGGACCCCTCTCCTTGTGGTCTCAGAATATGGCCACTTCTCCTCTCCAGCTACAACCTCATCATCCTTCTTTTCCGATCTGGTTGTGATATGTTTAAATTTTGCATGAGCGCTGATTGGATTAACCCCAAGGGACACCACCCTCTCGGGGGTTACCATTTTTTTAACTCCAGGGGGAAAACTTTTTTCCCCCACCACGTTGTGCCAAACGTGTTTGATTCACTGCCTTCTAATACCACCAGTTTTGGAATGTTTCAATGCTGTGTATGGGATTGTGATGACTTGCAAAATTCTGTGAACAGTTTGTTTGATAATTTCAATTACTTCATTGATCTTGGAAACTTTATTGGTAGTTGTTTACAGGGACTGTTTTCAAGGCAGCTTGGATTTAAACAGTATGTGTGTTGAAGATGCAGCCCCTGTGTGTGTTGCCTCCATTTGCAGTGAGTCAAAATAAGATGGGAATGGCACCAATTACAAATTTGCTTCTTTTTGCAGGGTGATCAGACGGCATTGCACCGAGCTGCTGTGGTAGGGAACACCGATATCATAGCAACTCTGATTCAAGAGGGGTGTGCTTTGGACAGACAAGACAAGGTAACAGGCAAAAGCAAAGCCCTGTGGGATGGCACCCTTGCCAGTCAGTAATATTAAGGTCTCAGAGAGAAAGTTATAGTTTATACTTCTGAGTAAGTATCTGATGCTTTGAAAGTAATTGCAACAGTTACATCAAAAATAAAAAAGTTGTACCATTTCTTTAATATAAGTTGCTGATATAGTTATGCTTTTATATTAGGCTGATAGTTTTTGGTTTAAGAGTCTGTTCTCAGCTCATTAAGGGAAGAAATAAAGTAATGTCCAACCATACTGCGTCCTGCTCAAAACACTGCAGTTTCCCATGATTATCTCAGCAACTTGAGAATCCCAGGCTTTAAGTTTAGTTTGAGAACAAATATAACTAATTTCAAGTTCCAGACAAAAGAAATAACCCTATTTTTGCCATCAGCTAAAAATAAAATAGAAAATAAGCTAGTAGGAAAGGAAAATATTTTTTAAGAGAGCAGGTTATGCAGCACATAACCTTCTCCTCTTTGTGTGTGTGCTCCTCAGGATGGGAACACTGCTCTTCATGAAGCTTGTTGGCATGGATTCAGTCAGTCTGCCAAAGTGCTTGTTAAAGCAGGAGCCAACGTTCTTGCCAAGAACAAGGTGAGACCCATGCAGGAGGAGCTTTCAGTTCTGGTATAAGGTGGCCGATTCTCAGAACTGGATATTTCTGGTCATGGCATTTCTCAGCAGGTGGGGGGACCAGCTCCTAGTGGGATTTTTTGATATTTTTTTTTTCTTTTTTTTGCATTTGTCACGCCTGGATGGTTCATCTACAGGCATTAGGAAATTCATATTTTGACAGCTGATGCCGGATAAACTCAATAGCACATTGAATGATACATTAATTACAGCTGAGGAACACTGCCATTCCTGTGGAAATCTCCATGGTGCTCTAATTTATACCAAGGAGATTCATTGTGATTGGTATGATTTAAAATGGAAATGAATTGTACTAATAGGAAAATGGTATTGAAAATGTGGGTTTTTTCCAGGAATTCAACAGCCAAAGGAATGTAAGTCATGGGGTGGGGGTGGGGGAGGAAGTGTATCTTTTGTTACTAAATTCTTCCTAATATATTAGCATAGTCTCTTCCCAAATTCTTGTAATGAACCTGGATTATGTTTCTTTAGTTATTTATAATACCTTGTGAGCCGTTTAGAGGAAGGAATAACAAAGCATGGGGTTTTAGTTCCACTCTGGTTGTTATAACTGTGGGACACTTCAATTCAATTCAAAAGCTAATGGAATAGTCTAGCAAATAGTGGTAGCAGTCTCTGGTGTGAGAGGAGTCAGAGTTTGGATCCCTGTGCAGATGGGTCGGTCAGATCAGACAGTTGGCACTGTGCCCTTCATTAGAGGTAAGAGGACTTTGGGGTGGCTTTGTGGGATCTCTGAGCTTTTTTTGGTAAATGTGTCTCTAAAACAACAACTGAAAGGGACTGGGGAAGAGCTGAGACAGCTGGCCAAAGTCTAAGATTTAGAGTAAAAAGGCATGTTGCCTGGGCAAAGTGTTTCTGTATATGCACTTATATGCAGTATATAACCATGTGTTTGCACAATTATGGTGTACAATTGTTACTTTGGTCTGTAATTACATAATCTTTGATATTATTTTATGTGTATTCCTTCTTTTATATTATTTCAACTGCTATTTTTTATTTTCTTTTTATTTTTGCTGTAATATCCACCTAGATTTGTATCAAAGGTACTTCAGAAAACTTCCCATGCTTGACTATAAAGTCAAGACTATAAAATCTTGTGAACCATTATGCTTCTACCTCTGGATACACTTGTCTGTGTATGTACATACACTTCTGTACAAAGGTGTGGGCTTAAGATGCAAGTCTGGTTATCCTGCATGCTGGGATGCCTCAGGGAATTAGAAGATTTAGCTTACAAGCCAGCCTATATCAGCTGGAGACAACCTCTCTGGGAAAGTATGTGCACAGAATAGCTCAGCAGGGTTGATGGCTGAAATATGACTGGCAAACTTTAATATTGTGTGAACAGCTCCTGTGCTGGCCTTTGATGTCTTACCCTCACAGTCCTCTCCCTTAGCATTTCGCTCTTTGGGTGGTTTTTAATGGACAAGATCTGTTCTCAGGAGCTGCTGAAAAATGTGGGAATTATGCATGCTTCCACGTGTTTTTACCCCTTTTAACTTCAAGAAAAATGAAGGGCTTAAGTCTACTTAATCCCCAAATGGTTCCTCTGGTCTCTCAGCTTTTTGTGTTACTGATGACAAGGCATAAGCATTCTGACAGCTTTTCTGGCAGCCAGGGCTGATGCCATGTGCCAGAGTATCCCATGGGCTGTTGTCTTACATCTGGGAATTGTGTGATCTTGGCTGGATGGGACAGATACGGGCTGCTAGATTTGTCAAATCCTGTGAAGCGGCAGAAGGCAGGAGGGATTTGACTCCGTATTTTCCGTAACTCATGGTTAATATCACCTGGGTAGCTGTATTCCTTCTGTGCAGCAATGACCCTGGACATGCAGTTTCTTTTCAGTCAAGTTGGCTTAATAAAAACTGTTCTGCTGTGATAGATCTTCCAGTGAGATAAGTTATAGCCTTCTTTTTAGATCCTCTATCACTCTGTACATTTCAGTGGAGATTCCCAGATTGGTACAACTTGGACCCCCTCTCTCTCTCCAGAAGCTGCTGAGAGATTTGTTGCTCCATGGGAGACAATCCAGATGAGCTGCTCTGTGATCCCTGACCCTTAGCACCAGCACCATGACTTTTCCCAGCATTGAGGTCCTAATTCATCACATGCTGCACGGGACCTCTTGCCTTCCCACTGGGGTCTCCCTGCCAAACAGCAAATCGTAAAGGCATTGCAGATATTCACATATAAACCCAGGAGGGAAAAAATTCACACTTAAATACAATTTAGCTGAGAAGGAAAATGTTCATGTTTGCCGCAGCTTGGAGACTACATTCAGGTCTGAAATAGTCTGAAACATGGGAGTGAAGACCTAAGACCACATCAAGAGTTGGCCTTTTGTAATTCAAACCCTGCAGCTTTGATCTGTGTTTTGAAAGCACAGAGGACAAATTAAAGGACATAATCAAGGTGAACAGGCAGCCTCATAAGCCTGGGAAACCTTTTTACCTGAGGTGATTTAATTTCTAGCTCTCAAGAGCTAAAAAACTACAGACATTTTCAGGCCAACAAAAGCCAAATGCTGTCAGAAAAACTTGTCAGACCAATAAAATCTTTCATAGTGTTAGAAAGACAAAACACAAGCAAATGCTTCTTTGATTTCTGTCCATAAAGACTACATGTTGGCTTCTTTCAAGAACAATAGCATGTGATTCTCTGGAGTTTGGGTGACTTTTTTCCCCCTTCTCATCTTTGTTGGAGATTTATGTGCTTTCTGAGGCTTCTTGATAGCCTAAAATCAGCATCCTGCCCTATGAGACCACCCACAACTCCAGCCAGACTTAGGTTTGTGTTACAATCCTAAGGAGAGAGGAGTTGTTGTGACCCTTGTTCTGCCCAATCCCCTGCAGCAGTTGCAGCTGGGCTCACTCAAGATCAGAGATGCCATGTCATGGCAGCGTGTTTCTTTGTGTGTGCGCATGGGGGAAACCCCAGACACAAGAATTATAGTTCTTTAAATGAAATACTTGATATTAATAAATGAGACAGTTTCCAGAGTCTTTGCTTCCTGCAAACAGACTTGACCAATGCAGATATCATTAGACTGTCCAATTTCTGCCTTTACTATATCCCAGGTAAGCTGTTGCCAGGATGAAGAGGGGATTTCAGTCTCCACGTTCATTCAGCTCATGTGTTTGGGAAACTAACAGTGGTAGTTTCCCACCGCTGGGTAGATCTTCATGTGGGAAGACCTGTGAGGTTTTATTTTTAATGCTTATGTCCAATTTCTAAATGGCTTTTATATTTTCCTTGCATTTTTCTAAGGCAGGTAATACACCTCTTCACCTGGCTTGCCAGAATAGCCATTCCCAGAGTACTCGTGTTTTGTTACTTGGAGGATCTCGAGCAGACCTCAAAAATAATGTGAGTTTTGAAAACAGCATTTTCATTTTTGTTTGATTTTGTTTTAGCTGTATTGCTTTAACTTGTACAAATACTCAGAAAGGCTTTAAGCTGTGATTTTTATTATAAATGATATTGAAAAAACCCACTAGTCAACCATTGTAGACATCATGTACAGGAATGCTTTTGGTAGGACTGAGTGATGCACTACTTCTACCCATCTCTTGAGCAGGGATGGAAGGAGCCAAAAGGGTTTTAGCTGTGGCACAGACTGAGGCAGCTGGTCTTTCCTGCCTTTTGGGGTCCTGGTGGCCTGACCCATACACTGTTGTGCAATTCTGCAAAAGGGCTCCTCTCTCAAAAAGATGGAAAACCTAAAGGGGTTTTATGCCAGAGCGGTGAAAGTCTTCAGACCTGCAGATCATATATACTGTGTGTCAGTCTGTCAAAGGAGGTAGATTCAAGGTGGCTTCAGTTGCAGACAGCTTTCCTCCTATTTTATAATGATTCTGGCATGACAAGGAAAAAAAACAATCTACAAAGGAAGCTAGATGTTTTTGTCTCTGCTTGATAACAAAGTGGGCAGAGACACACAGAAGTGGAAACTGTGTGGGGGCTCTGCTCCCAGCTCCCAGTCTCAGCTGCACAAGTGCCCTCCTCATGGGAATGCTGCTCTGGCCCCCATTCCTCATGTTTTCTACATTATGTACAACTCCCTGATCAAGATTCCAAATCACATTGGTTTTATGGTTCAGAAAAAGAGATTTAATGGAAAAATGTAACTCAGGTTTTGTAGTGCAGTAAACCAGCATTTTATAATTCTAGTATTTACCATCAGTGGTTAATGAATTCATGCCCCCACCTTGCCTGACCCCACCTCTTGTTAAACTTTCCCACCCGTGATAGCACATTTTGTACTAGAGAGAAGACAGCATAGCTATTCAGTGGAGGTGTGTGGTATTTATGGCTCTTTCTGGTTTAATAGGATTATTTTATCCCCAAACAGCATGACAAATGCAGGCTTTCTCACTGTGGTTACATGTTCAGAGCTTTGTTTCTGTTTGCAGGCAGGAGATACCTGTCTGCATGTGGCTGCTCGTTATAATCACTTGCCCATCATTAGGGTGCTGCTCAGTGCTTTCTGTTCTGTCCATGAAAAGAACCAGGTCAGTGCATGAACCTCATTGTGACTCTGTGCCCTTTGCATACGGCCAGTTGTTGGAAAGAGGGATTCCAACCCAAGTAATCCCACTTCACTCTGTGTTCCACTGTACCACACCAAATGCCTAAGCTTTTAAGAATAGCCTTTAAGTAATGGCATATCAATGATTTATTATTTTGCCATCGCATTTGCATAATTTCTTTAACACATTGCTTATTTATGAGGTGATTTAATGATCTTATGGCCATTACAGAGACATCATGAAGCAGAACTCACGGACATTTAGATGCTACCAAAGTGTGAATTCCTCTGAAATACTTTTGTTTGCTGCATTTTGCAGTAGGGGGAATTAAAAGGACATAAAAGTGAAGAAAAAGTATACTCTAAATTCACAGTAATGATCAGTCCAGCCTAGGATTAATCATCCATAGTTGTTTTATAGAGAAGTAATTGATTCCTGTATCTATAGCATACCCTAATTGGATGGTAGAAGCAAATAAATTTAATACATTAAAATATGTTAAATCTGCTAAATAAACAGATTATATGGTGCTTAACCACATTTTCCCATGTTCCTGGAAAATTTTCTGTGTGGAGTTGAAGATCATAAAGATATTTTCTGATCTGTACATTTAATCTTCTTTCTTCACTATGAGATAATACAGCAAACAAAATGGGTTTCAGCATGTTAAATTTATTATGTGATTTTATTTGGAAATTAGTTTTTTAACTTGCAAAATGAGTTACTGAATATTAGGATCAACTGTTGTGAACCTGGCCCAGAGAAGATATCCCTTTCCTTCATTCATGAGCACTACATGAAGTTGTTCCGTATTTGCACATACAATGATTTGATATAGGAATATGCCTTGTCTAAGTTAGCAACAAGCAATAGATAACCCCTAGTCCCACGGAGATTGAAGTTTGTGCAGACAAAATGCAAGGCAAGGGGGACAGGAGGGCATTATATGCACGTGTAGGGTCTCCCTTGAACAGTTGCTGGCTCTGTTACTGGTGGTTAAATCTGATCATGGCTGTCTTCACCTCACTGCACCAGGACAAGGGCAGGGCAGTGTGTTAGTGCTGGACCTGGATTGCATCCTGGCATTGGTCCAAAATCTGTTTTTCCTGAGGAATCTTGTGAAGAGAATGCCAACCATCTTGCTGCTGGTACTTACCTGATTATTTTTGAGTAATGTGATACACTGCCACCTGTGCACCAAAGAATCAAAACTAGGAGAAGGAAAAAAAAGAGAAGGTTGTGGTGGGAAAACTGGTTCTGCCCTCAGATATTGTATCCGTTTGCTGGAGGTAGAGTTGGGCTGTCTCCAAGCTGCATCATGTATCACTTGGTTTAATTAGATCACCAGCACCCCAGCTGCATTTCTCAAACCTAGGCTGAAGTAGCTCCTTGCCTCTCCTGTCACCTTCCTCCCAACTCAGCTTTTTTTTTTTTTAAATTTTTATTGACCGGGCCTTATTTAAGCTTAGTTGTCACTTCAATAAGTGTAGGTCTTTTCACCTCTGAGCATCTTTTACGAAGGTGTGAATTCTGTAGTGAGACCCAAGGACTTGTCTCACAAGTTTGTTTCCTGCTTTCTGCCTTGCAGGCAGGGGATACGGCGCTCCATGTAGCTGCTGCTCTAAATCACAAGAAGGTGGTGAAGCTGTTGCTGGAGGCAGGGGCTGATGCATCCGTTGTCAACAACGTAAGCACGACATGGAGTTTCTTTGCTATTTTATATTAATGTAGAGTCCCTTCAACATTCTTCATAGGCTTGGTAAAAAATACTTGGTTGATATGTGTTGAATTATATCTGGGTAAACTAAAGCAGTTAGTCGCTTTACTCTAGTGCACAATGTATTGAACTTGGTTGGAGAAATTCCACATTTCCAGTAGCTTGTGTTTTAAAGGAAATGCTGTTTTCTTTTTCCTCTCAGGCAGGTCAGACCCCTCTAGAGGTTGCTAGACAGCACAATAACCCCGAGGTTGCACTCCTCCTCACTAAAGCATCACAGGTATGTTACACATCTCCTCCCAGCACAGACATAGACATGGAGCTGAGGCCAGTTAACCTTGGGAGGCTGCATCCCCTGGTCCTTATCTTGTGCTGTGAAAGGTGCCTACATTTCTGCTGGCATCATGGGCTGGCCTCAGGTCTATTGATGCAGAGCCTTTCAGCCCCCAAGGCCAGCAAAGTGTGCAGATTAAGCCTCAGCATTAAGTGCTGTCTCCCACTATCCTGACTGGCAGAGAGCATGGAGCAGTCAGAGACACTTGTTCCCTGCAGTGGCCTAGGGGTTAGAAAGTTGCCCTGTACCCAAAAGCTCCTGAGTTGAGTCACTCTGCTGCCTGCCTCAGGCATGTCCCATCCCCAAGATGGAAGATGCTTTGAAATGGGGACAAAATGTCCTGTTTATACTTCACAGCTGTGCGTGAAATGCTGCAAAGCTCTTCAGGCTGGAAGGGAGGTAAGAGGGTATGAGAACAGGTACTATCCCTTCCCTCCTCCTCCTTGTCACCTCTGCATGAAAAGGGCTGAGCTTGGCTTGGCAAACAGCCCAAGGACACAGGAGGACAGAGGAAGAGTTGCTTATCCTTTTAGGGGACAGCAAAGTGCCCCAGTAGATTGAGCTCAGTGGTGTGTTTTCACAGGCATAAACACCCACATTGCTTGGCCCACCAGTGTCCATCTGGCAGTGCACTCTCTTTTATCCATTGCCCTTTGTACAGACGTGGAAAAAGTCTGCTCTATTACTTGTCTTTTGTGGTAAGAAAGAGCATGACATCACTGAGTAACAGTGTGGTCTGCCTTCAGGTATCGCGTTTTAACCGTGGGAGAAGCCTGAGGAAGAAGAGAGAGAGACTGAAGGAGGAAAGGCGAGCTCAGTCAGTGCCACGGGATGAAGTGGCACAGAGCAAGGTACAACCTGGCATTACCAGCTGGATCTGCTGTGAGGAGGGCGTGTTACTAAAAAAACCCATGAGGAGTCAGTCTTTTTGGAGCCATCACTTGTGCATGGCTACGGCAGCTGCCTGAGGCAGTCTGTCATGCTTTGCTGCTAAAGAGCTTCCCATGTGCAGAGCAGCGTAAAACTGGGCAATTGACAGAGGCTCCTTTTCCCCATCTCTGCAACTGCTCTGAACTCCCTGTCTTTGCTTCAAGCAGGGCAGCATCTCAGCTGCTGACACACCAAGCAGTGACCAGCCCCGGGAGAGGAAGAACAATCTGAAGGATGAACCCCGGTCAACCTCACCAGATCCCAAAGGGAAGAAGAGCAAAAAGAAAAAGCCAAAGGAAAAGGTATCAGTAGATTTAAAACAGCAAAGAGAGGGAAGAGAGAGTTGCTGAGCAGTAGGTGGGTGTCCCTTTGGTGTGTTGGTCAATCGGGGCAGCAGCCCTGCCGTGCTCATGGGGCAGAGATAGTCTTCAGATAAAACCAATTTTTGCTGTAATTGTCAGAGTGGATTTGTCCCGTTTCCACCTGGAACAGTTTACCAAGGGGCTCATAAATAGGGAAAACATCTGTATTTTATGCAGGTTTCAGCACTCTCGGACCCCATCTCCCCATCTGATCAGCAGACACTCCCTCAGCCCCAGCAAAACGTGCCTAAGCGCAGAAGCAAACATCACTGCTCCTCCCCACCCCCTCCCCATGAGGTCCGAGCCTACCAGCTCTACACACTGTACCGAGGAAAGGACGGGAAGGTGATGCAGGTGAGCTGGCACTGCAGGTGGGGGAGATGCTGGGAGCAGCACGTGGAGTTGGGGCACAGTTAGGTAATGGATAGAAAATATGCTCAATTAACTGCACTCTCAGGGGCATGAAATTGTGACTGGATTCGTTTCCCTTGTTTGGGTTCCAGCTGCATTTTGGCCTGAAGTCTGGCAAACAATAAGGTGGTTTTATGCCTGTTAAAGAAGACATAAGTAGTTTTGATCTACAAAGTGTTTCCTTTTTGGAGATAAGGTGTGAACAGTGATGGGAAATGACACAAGAACTTTTATGATATACTTTGAAACATTAAGATTTCTGACAGGAAATGCAAAGAACTTTTCCAAGGAAAAGCATCATGTGAGCAGAAAGCTTACTCCCTAAACCAAGAGCTTGAGTAAGCTCAATAGATTTTGTTTCAATTCTTTCTGTGTACTGCAACATGTCTTTGGGTATTCTGTGTTTCCTGGAGGCAGAATCTGTAGAGAAATTGATTCACAAATAAACCTGAAGCTACCAACTCATATGCATTTATTCCAGTTTTGAGACTGATATTATTTTAGTCATTTTATTACACAATTAATTACCAGTAGATATTTACAAGAAAGCGTGAAAACTGTCAGCAAATTACCCTGTAGACATTGTAAACATCTGCATTGTTGTTTTCTTAATATTGCCCTCCTATACCCCTGGGAGGTCTGTCCTTTCATTTCCTCAGTTTGCCACATCCATCCACCAGCTCTCTTTGGTACCTTGCTGTAGCTAAGAAATTCAGCAGATTCTGAAGATCATTCAAGTCAGGCTACAAAGGTTACTTTGGCTGTATTTTCCAATCTCTCTGTGGAATGTTCAAGAAATTTCCAGACAGGGGCACTATTATAGTTTATTATCCTATAGCAGACATCAGGAAGGATGGAGGACCTTTTATATGTTAAAAGCAGTATCTTCCTGCCCCGAGCATCTGATGGTAGGAGGGTAGGCCGTTAGGAAGGACTTGGGAAGCAGAAAGAGAGGTGCAGAGAGCAGATAGGATTTCTATACAAATCTCATCTACTCACAAAGATTAGCTTAATAGAGCTAGACTCCCATATAGTATTTCCTGAAATACATGACACTCCTCTCTTCATTTTTTTGCTTGTCTGTATTCTTTGATGCCCTCAGGCCCTGAATAGCAAACATAATTTCTTAAGTACGTGTACTTTGAAGCTTTCTTTAGTGCTCAGCAAACCACCCACCTATTCATTCCAAGGGAATAACCCCTAGTTTGTGAAACAGTGCTGCCAAAGGAGAGAGGGAGGCTCCTCTGCAGACAGATTCAGAACAGACATTTTGGACTACTGGCATACCCCTGAAGGAGCCAATTTCTGCCTTTGGGCTGCAGAGGAGGCCAGTGAGGATTAGCTGTCATTAGGTTAAAAAGCAAATGCACACAATCTACACACATCCACTAAAACAGATTTTTTTTTTACAGCAGAATTACAGAATTCAGAATTACAGCATTGAGACAAGGGTTATAATGATAAGGCCTGTAATATAAGGCCTGTAATATAAGGCCCTCAGACAGCACTCAGTACCACAGCATACACGATCTGAGCTCAGTGCTCCTTGTAGCCTCAGTGAAATCAACACTGCTGTGTGTTAGGATGTGTCCATATAAATCAGATCAATCTTTTATTCTAGTCTGTGCTTTTTCAACTAATAGCCTGTTTGCTGAGCTACTGTAAGATTTTTTCAGGAGGGTGAGATATATTATATGATACAGAAAAGCCCAAGACTGACTTGGAGAGGCTGAGGTAATATCCCAAGTGCGCTAAGAGGATGGTGGGATGTAGCAACTAAATGTGTTACTACTTTCAGGCACCAATAAATGGATGTCGTTGTGAGCCCCTGATAAATAAACTGGAGAATCAGCTGGAGGCAACAGTGGAAGAGATAAAAGCTGAGTTTGGGACAGTACAAGATAAGATGAATATTAAGCTGGGCCAGATGGAAAGCAAAACTCAACATCAAGTAAGAATATGACCCAGAGCTCTGCTTGCTCATAGGACTATTAGAAACATATCCTAAGCTTAATGACTATTTTCATTGTCATGATTCGTTTATTGCTTCTTATGTTGTAAAAAAATACAGTGAAATATAATACTCAAGACCAGAGAATTGTGACATTCCACAGGGACCTAATGTTGCAAACTAGGGTCTTGAGAAAAGACACATCTAATATGTTAAATGGCTTCCAGTGCTTCATTACACAAGGAATCTTAATGGCTTGAACCATTAAGGGGGAAACAAGGCAGCCCTAGAGCTGGTCAGTTCATAATTGTAAAAGTCCATCTTGCTGACTTATGTATGCACTGAGATTCAAGATCCTTTAAATAATTTTTTATTTAATAGTTATTCAGTTGATAATTTTCTGATTGAACCCCTTTGAAAGCTATATCTAATTGTAGTTGGCAGAGTTCCTAGAAACAAAGACTGAAAGACAGACTGTACTTTGACTTACAAGGTTCACAGATGGGAGTTTTGTTTGGTTTTTAATGTGATCATCTCAGCTGAATTGTGGTTTTTTCCACAGCTCCGTGTTTTAGACAAGCTTATGGCTGAGCGGCTGTCTGCAGAGAGAACAGAGTGCCTTCACCGCCTGCAGCAGCACACTGAGCTGGAAAAGAATGAGGGGGAGAAGCGGCAGGTAGGGCTCAAAAGAGCTACTCCCTGTTAGCTCAGCTCAAGAATTTCATTCCAGTAGGCAGAGAGAATATCAGAGATTTATCTCATCTGTTTAAACAGGGAAAAGAGCTTCAAAGACCAAGTTATTCCTATCCATCACCTTAATCTCTAAACCAAATTTATAAAGTTTTTGCATCAGAAATGAGGAATGTGAAATCCAGTCCCACTGTTGTCATTTAACTTGGTGTGCCTCAAGTGTGGGATCCATAACAAAATACTGCTTTTCTAACATAGTGCTATGTTGTTCCTTTTACTTCTCATCCATTTGGTTGTGGGCCCTGGGAATCTCTCCCTTCTCTCTCTGATCTCTTTTCCCCCATGTATTAAAAGGCTGCAGTTCTTCCCTCTGATGTTAGCAACAGGGCACCATCTCCAAGCTGTGTATTAGTGCCACTAGGCAAATCCTTTTTGTATGCTTGTTTAACCAGCAGTACAAGAATAACTGCTCCCATAGAGATCCAGCTGATCCAGCTCTTGTCCTTCTAGCCTCTACAAAAACTCACCATTAAAACCTGCTAAGAAATTTGTGTTTCTCTACTCACATGGGTAAATTTAAAATACAGTTCATTTTCTCATTATTAGTATTCTTCCAAGAATTGGGAAATACACTTTGTGCTAGTAAAATGTCATGAGTTTTTGTAAGACTGTTCCAAATCTGCTTTAAAAGACTGGCAGCTCTGATAATCCTTGCATAAATTACTGATTAAGATACTTGGGTCTAACATCCACAAAACACTGTTCTCCAAAGAAAACTACTTACCAAACTAAGGCAGCTTTAGTTTTTATTTCATAATAAGAGACATAAGTATTATATCAACTGCTGAAAGTCTAGGCTTATACTCCATCTCCTTGTAATCTCCATTTAAGAAATGAGATGCTGGAGTGATACATCAGGTGCACTGAATTAAGAAATATCAGCTGTTCCTGCTCTGTTGGGTCTAATTGAAACTGCTGGAAAAACAGAAATGGCCTTTACTAAACACATTGACTAAATGTGCCTAGAAAGGCTTGACCTAAATTCATGATGTCATATGAACAGGGTGAAAGAGCTACTCCTCTTTTAAATTATTTAAATGACTCTGCAGCTGACACTTATTAAGCACCTTTGTAATCTGAAAGCTGTTAGTGATTTATCATTTAGTGTGGGACTCATCCTAATCACTGAACGAACAGAGAAGCACAGGTTGGTAATGATATAAAGCTGGGTCCCAGAAGTGTCTAATTTAAATTTCACTGTTAAAAAAATGTCAGCTTTGACCACATGTGATGTTCCTTGTGCTTAGAAGGTATCGACTGTATGATTAAACAAGTCATCCCTGATCAGAGGACTTAGAGTTGCATTTGAAGTCGTATCTAAGAGGAGGTAGCTTGGAGGAAGGAGGGTGCCTTTCATTAGATAATGCGTAGTTTTTCACCTTTTCTGATTTGCAGTCCTTTAAATATCCTCAGTGACAGCATGCACATCTGTACAGGGAGTCGAAGCCCAGATACTCAGCTTGCTTCTCTTTGTCCTTGCCACATATCCTCAGCAGCCCAGGAACCGTAGGATCTCATCATAGGATTGTCTAATTTGCAGTCTCTTTTTCATAGATTTCCTTGGTCGATGAGCTGAAGACTTGGTGCTTGTTGAAGATTCAGAATCTGGAGCTCAAGCTTTCTGGAGATTCAAGGTCATCAAGACCAAAATCAACTTTGTCCACTTGTGAGTCTCTCGCTGAGACCCTGGATACTGACAACAACCCCCACAGTGCCAAGGACTGTAAAGCCAACCAGCCTGTGCTGCAGTCAGAGGGCTCCCACCAGCATTCCTATACCACACTTCCAAATAGCTTCTTGGAAGATGGGGGAAGGAGCAGAGTCCAGATGCCAGAACAGAGCTTTGGGAAACACTTTTGCATTAAACAAGATGGTGCATCAGGTACAACCATGCCAGGTATTTAGATGTCATATTCATTCAAGGGCAAGCTAATTAACTGAGGGATGCTTTAACATCTCATATATTAATTCTAGCTGTGTGCTTTCCCCCATCCATATGCCTGATGTTTTGGGATTAGAATATGCTTTCAAGGCAGCCAGTGGGAACATTTTAAGACATGGCTGGGTGGAATTCTACTGACTCTTCCTGATACTTCTGGTATCTTTGAAGCCAAGTCCTTTGGTGCTATGAATAACTCTGTTTTTTGAAATTTCTCCACCTTCTCCAAATATGCTCCCACCCTGTTGTCTGTCAGGAAAGCGGGCTTGTGCAGATTATCCAAAGTCTACTGAAAAAAGTGTATTGTTATTTAGTGCTTTTCAGATGTTTGGAACCTATAAGGGCAGAGATGTGAACCTAAAATACTCGTTTCCCATGTTAATATTCAAACTGCAAGTATAGAGATAAATCTCTTTTTCCTCTTCTCTTGAACTGAAGTCTGTTTAATTTTTAGTTCATTTGGCAAGAATAAAAATAGCTGAGAACCTTGAAGCCTATTCAGGGATCAAGGCCACCTGAAGATACGGTTTAAGCCACCTCTCTGTGCTTGGCTCTGGAAACTTCTGAGAAAAAATAAAGATGCAGGCAGAATGGCCAGGTCTCCACAGCCAAGTAGAATGCAGAGTGAACAGACATGGACATGGATGCCCCATCAGATTAGAAAGGCACATAGGAAATCTTGTGGTACATGAGTGTGAGCTATTGTGCACTGAACAGTTCAAAAGTATCAAAATGTGAGACCTTTTCATAATTACTGGGGCTTCAGGTTTTATAAAAGCAGAGTGTTCATAAATATCAGCAGACCTATTTTGGAAATCTAGACTGACCTTTGTTACACATCCTTCTGATGAAGTCATAGAATCATAGAATTTTAAGTCGGAAGGGACCCTAAAGATCATCTAGTTCCAACCCCCTGTCATGGGCAGGGACACCTTTCACTACACCACGTTGCTCAGAGCCCCGTCCAACCTGGCCTTGCACACTTCCAAGGATGGGGAATCCATAACTTCTTCAGGCAACCTGTTCCAGTGCCTCACCACCCTCACAGTGGTCAGTGTGTAGACCCACAGCTGCAGTGCAGCACCTCCCTGCCGGAGCCAGCTTTTCCCTTTATTACATCGCCTGACTGTGAAGATGCGTTAAACTAATATAAGCCTGTACAATGTACACAGCATGGTACTGCATCATTCATCAAACGAGGGCTTCTGAATGCTAAAATAAATGCCCAGAGCTTTTCTTAACATATTATCTATATTTTATTCTGTAGGTATAGAGCAACAGTCAATGGCTGGTGGACCAGTTTCTTCTTCTGCCCCTGCTCAAGATGTCAGGCCAAAGGACAAAGGTGTAAGTGCCAGCACGTTCCAAAGGTTCCAGCAGGAGCTGCCCTCCTCTGAGCTTTTGGGCTCCAAATTAAGACACGTTAAGGTTCATGCTGCTTTGCAGCCATTGACTGAACCTGCAAAGACTGAACCACAAAGTGGATACTTCATCGACAAAGGAACTCAGACAAAAAAGTCCAGCAAAAGTGGGCAGTCAAGGCACAAAGCTCTGCACCACACCGGGGCACACCAGAGCCAGGAGCAGCAGCCCTGCCCCCTGCCTGCAGGACAGCCACCTGCCCCTCCCCTCAGAGACACCTCCCAGGCCCTGGAGATAACACAGTACTTCTTCGAGGCCGTTTCCACACAGATGGAGAAGTGGTACGAGCGGAAGATAGAAGAAGCCCGGTGCCAAGCAAACCAGAGAGCGCAACAGGACAAAGCTGCACTCAAGGAGCACATTAAATGCTTAGAAGAGCAGCTCAGCAAATTAAGGACTAAGGTGCAGAAAGACAGCTAGCAACAGGACACATCTTGGAACCTGCTGTATGGGAATCTGGAATATTGATAGATGTTTGTAGTGCCTGTTACATCCAAACAAAACACTCTTTTTCAGGAGTAGAAATAACTCTGGAAACTCCATAACTGAGGAGAATTCATATGCAGACTATACCGATAACAATGAGATGCTGCAGATTAGATCCTTTCTTTGTTATTTCCAAGAGTCTGTTAATATTGCACTCTCGTTTTCCAGATGCTGCTTGAAAACAAATGCATTAGCAACCAAAACTGCTTTCCGAAAAGGGAATTCCCTTATTTCCACATAGGTCATGTGTGGCTAGAGGGTTCCACTGTATGCTACATGTAAACACGTGGTCATACCATTACTGAAATAAATCCAGGATGTTTGAGAGCTTTTGACAGAATTCCTTAGTGATGAAGGGCTATTGATCCTATTTTAGATACTCCCCAGGGCCTGTCTCTAGTCAATGAAGAAAAGCTACAGAACCCACTCCAATTACAAGCCCAGGTAGGTGACAGATGTAGGCTTCCAGCTGGAAAAGGGCAGGCAAACATGGATGGAGATGCTAAGGCAACTCATCCCATTAGGGACAGAGGCTTTGGCTGCCATTTTGCCTTATTCTTGGTTTTACGTTATTAAAATGAATGCTGAATCAGATTTATCGTCTTTTAAATGGTGTCCTGGTTGCAGAGCTCATTGTGGTTACAATTGTTGGGGCTGTACTCCTGTAATTTGACAGAGAAGTTTTGTTTAAGGCCTGGATAGCAAATATTTTATTGTAACCATGGTCTACTTGTTAGGTGTAAGTTTTATATAAATCTCTTTTCCTTCAAGCAGCAAATGGCTGAATTCTCAACTGTTGAAGAAGCTTGAAAAAGTCTTTTATTTAAAGAAGTGAAAGCTTGGTTCCCCTGTACTCCAATATTTCTTTTTCTGCAGTTAGGATGTTCTCCCAGACACTTTGTCTGGACTGTCTACCTTTGTTCCTCTGAATAACTCCTCTGTTTTTTTTCCTTTATCTCTAAAAAGGAGACCAGGCCCTGGTGAGTTTGAAGGTCTTAGGACAAAGTCCCACAAAACAGAACTTAACAGCATTTTCAAGTTTTTTATCTATGCCTGTTGTTATACAATGAAAATTACATTGACCAGTGTTGTCCACACTGACAGACTCCAAATGATCTAAAGGCACTGTAACTCATTGCCTTTAGGGTTTCCTCCTTATACCTCTAAGAAGGCTCCATCAGATTCTGTTAGGAAAGTAAGTTTACTTACCAGATCATGATTGAACTGATTTCTAACACAGTATGGTTACTGCCAAGGAGAAAAATAGTTTTGTACTGGGGAGCCCTAAAATCAATACAAAATACTTTATACACCATTGAAGACACCACTGACTAATTAGTAATTAAGCTTTTGTCTTCTTAGCAGATGTATAAAGAAAGTTGTATCATATAACAATATTTTTTAAAGTTCCTATTAATGCACTGTCAAGACAAATGTATCTGCATCTATGGAAATACTAGTTTTGTTGCTCTGACTTCTGTAGTCTAATATAGACACTTTCTTATGTTTACAGTTTTGTTTAAGCTATGTAGGAATGCAGAAGCATGCAATTGAAGTTTTGTATCATCTGGATAAAGTTAATGTTTTGCCAAGCAATTAAAGTAAGTGTTGCTCAGAGATCTGTGGCGTAACATTTTCTAGCCAGGGAGGACTGATTGGATCCCCTCATTTCACTTGGAAGAGGGAGCAGAAAATTGGACTTCAACTTCTAAGCTTTTGTGGCTATAAACCGTGGGAACAGAGCCTACCGTCTGTCCCGAGGGAGGCTGCAGGGAGTGAGTGCTGTTTCTTAGCTGGTGCAGGCACCCACCATTTCAAAAGTTATGGTGCAGGGCTGAGTTGTGCAGCTGATCACACACACTCCTGAGCTTGCCCACGCACAAGGGAGAGGCCATGGCTTCAGCTCATCCGTTTCACATACAGACCACGCTACTAAGGTCATATGTCCAAGTAATTTAAGTAAATCCAAGTAAGACAGCAACCTGGCTGCAGGTTACTGATATTAGAGGTTCTCTGAAGCTCATGAGTGTATGGTAAAAGAAAGGGAGGCATTTTATCCTAATTCCTTGGACTTTACAAAATACCTCTAAGATCTGTCTTCCTCTGCAGGACATACTTGGTAAATTTACTTACCCTCACAGACTATGTTGGACTCCTAAAGACTTCTGGCAGGCATCTTTACCTCAACAAGCCCACAGAGCAATGGAGATGACAGGCAGCAGCACTTGCAGGTATTCTCTGTTGGAAGGGACCCACAAGGATCATTGAGTCCAGCCCTTAAGCGAGTGGCCCATGCAGGGATCGAACCCTCAGCCTTGGTGTTATTAGCACCATGCTCTAAGCAACCAAGCCAGTCTCAGGGTCACTCATGAGGTCAGCAACTGTCCAGGGCACTGCCTGTCAATCCTAGTCCTGGCTTATGTGCCCACAACCTAGAAACATAAAAACTGGGAGTCACAGGAGTAATGCAGGTGCAGGGCTCCAAAACGAGGCAGCAGCATAAAGCCTCCTAATTAAGGAGCAGAAATCCAAGCACTGGCTGAAGGGAAAGGGAAGGTTACCTGTGGTAACAGCCAAAATTGGCTACAGTTTGTTTAGTCAAAATTCCTTTTTAAGCAGCACTGTCCACTAACATGAAAAATCAATCCCCAATACCCTAACACTGCCAGTGTATCCTACCAGAAAATGTTAGCAGAATGTAAATTTTAAACAAAATGTTTTTACATACATATTTTTCACTGACTGATGCTCAGAGGCTTCTGTCTATACAAACCCAAACCTGTGAGCAGCCTTACTGGTTGCTTGAGGCACATTCTTTACTGCAAAGCTAAATAAACATCATAGGAAAGGAGTCTACACTGACTTTCAGGAAAATAATAAGAAAAAAAAGGCATTCCTCCTTGTTAAGCAGCAGCTTTTTGCAAAGCAACTTTCTGAAGAGCCTTTGTTTGGCTCCAGCAAGCAGCATACTTCCTGCTCTCATCCGGGGCCTGTCATCCCTCCTGTAGCCTGGAGTAGCATCCTGTCCCTTCTCTCGTGCCAATGGTGGCACTTACTGGATTTGCTGTCCAGCTCACCAACCCAGCAGAGAGCCACCTTGGCAAGGGGGGGTGGCTCCGTAAGGGAACTGTAATAGCAAAGTGCGAGAGGAAGGAGTTCTACAAGTCTTAGAACCACAACCTAAATTGCACACAGTACTGGACAGTCAGGTATCTCTCTGCTGCTGTCCGTCCAGTTATGTAATATATGTGATATATAGAAGATATACTGCAGCTTGAAGAAAGAACAGTTGCAAGCTAACAAAACTGCAGTATCGTAATATTTGGAAAACCAAGCTACAATATTTGCAGTTAGTATTTTCTAGCTGTAATTCTACTTTATATTAGCTTTTAAATACTAGCTTGAAGGTAATTCCTGTTGACTTGGTAATAACCGTCTCTGGGGCTAAAATCTCTCATTTTCATATGTAAACACCTCCCCTTTTAAGTTTTATTCAGCTACTACTGAAAAATCAGCATCTACATACAAACCACTTTCTTCAAAGTTTTGTCACATTTATTTGTTCTGGGCCCATTTATTTATCCCAAATGCTTTTTTAATCATAAATTTTGGTAAAAATCCTTATCACAGTACATGGAGAGCTGTTAGCACTGTGAATGTTACCACCTACAGTTGCCACAGTAAAAAATAGACAAAAAAATCTGGTTCATATTTATTTTCTGTTTCACAGGTGTAACACTGCTGTTGTAATTTTTGGTGCTTTCTGCTTTTCCCACAGCTCATGCTACATCATCCATTCAGTTCCTTATGTCTGAGTGATTTTCAAACAACATCCCCAGTGTGGTAGATTCCCCCTTCAAACTTTACCAGGTTGCCAGCAAAAGCTGCCATTATAACCACATTCTGGAAAAAAAACACTATTCTTGTTTGCAGCAGATGAAAGTCCAACTGTCAACAAGATCAGTATCAGGATTTTGCCAACTTAAGTGTTCTCTGAAGTTCCTGCAGTTGCATGTTGCCTTGAGTAATCATCATCCTGATTGCATCCTGTAAAACCAAATAGAGTCTACTGAACTGAACACAGTGTACACAGGTTTTACACAACCATGCAGATTTTTAAGGCATTAAAATACATAAAATTCTTACCGGCACTGCTGTCATCTATTATTTCTTTGTGTGAAGTAACACTGTAGTCACTGAGGTGGTTAAGAAACAGATGCCTAAACGAATTAATTTTTCCCAGTTCCTTAATGATGTGCTTGGTTGTGGTTTTGTTTAATAACTCAGTTTTTAACTGGATTCAAACTCCTAACAATGTTTTCTTTATGCTTCTGTGTCTACCACCTCTGCACTTCAGCAGTGACAAGCGTGCAGGGGGCATTATGGAGACAGGGCTTTTACAGAGCAGGTGGCTGTTTCTCCCAACATTATATATGTTCTCTAAGGCTTTGTCTGCATAGTTCAGCCACAAATTCCTTGGGCCCTGGCTAGAAAAAGGAACAAACAAGAAAGGAGGACTGGAGACATACAAGAAATGCGGAGGTTTCTGCACTTCATACTTGTTTCATATCCCAAACCATCTGATTTCATTGTTTTCTGCTTGAATATAGTTGAAATTAAAGATTTTTTTAAAAAAACTTAACCATAAATAAGTTTATGTTAGTTACCGTATTACTCAGTACAATTTTCCTGATCTGTGGTTTGAGTAAGCAGAATATTTGGTTTTTAGCTTTTTAATTCCAGATTATTATCTGGAAATGAAGAGAAAAATTACTTCCATCAACAGGGGGGATAATATTTATAGATATTATGGATTATTTCTTCTACAAATGAGAAAATAGTAACAGGAGACTTCTCTCCAGTCTGGAAGTGACACCTACAAAACAAACCCCCTCAAGACACAGGACAGGATAGCAGTGACCATTCTCGAGGGCAGGCGGTCAGGGTTGCGGGTTCCTCATCCTCACCTCTTCTGTAGCATCCTTATTTCTCTTGAATTCCTCCCTGGCCCAGTCCTTTAAGTAGCGGCGATCCTGTTCAGCAGGGACCTCCCGGATAGCCCGCAGGATCTTGCGGTATAACTGAAGGACCTGCTGCCGCCTCAGGAACTGGGAAGAAGAGAGGAAGTCTGCCCGCTGCCCCAGGACACTGCTGCGAGCCGCACCCTCAGCGGCTTTGCTTCGAGGGACATTTAAGCAAACACAGAGGGCCCCGTCGCCTTTTCTAAAAGGCGCAGCTTGCCCGCGTCCCGCCGCGGGACACGACCCCGCCGCCCCCGGCCCGAGCGGCCCGCCCGTACCTGCCTCAAGCTTAGGGCGCCCGGCGGGACGCGCCCGGCGGCCATGACGCGGCTCCGCCTCTGCCCCGCCACGGGGCCGCCGGGCCCGCCCCCAGCGGGCGGGGCCACCCGCCGCCATTTCCTGTGGTTTCACCTCCGCGCACAGACAGGGAGGGGGCGGTGATCCCTCCGTGTGGGAAGTTCGGTTTATTCATTCCAGCTTTGATCAATTCAGAGAACAGACATAATAATTAAAAAGAGTGGTACCTCTTTTAATTAGTACAGACGATACAAGATGCATAGCCTTTGCAATCAAAAATCACGTCCGTGCTCTAAGACATTGGATTTATGAAACATCCTCAATGTCTGCCTCGGACAGAGGGGCAAATTCACAGTGTAAACTGATAGTACGGAGATCAGCATATGGCATTATTCAGAAAACTCCCTGTTGATACCATCAGACAAAAATCTGCCATAATTAAATAGGATGCGTCAAACTGCAGAGTACTTCCAAGTATTCAAGTACTCATTTTTTGGTTGTTTAAAACCACCTGCTTCCCTGCTCCTCTACTCCTTCCCAGAGGCAACAGCCACACGGGTGAAGATAAAGAATGCTTTTTTGCCAGACACCTCAAGTTCTAACACAGAAATGCCTTCCCAGAAACATTTTCCCTATGGCAGCAGAGTGGCAGGAATAATTGTACCTCTGTGAATATTACAAATACTTTTTTTTTTAAGGTAATAAGTTATTACAAGAGAAGTTGAGGAAAGTTACATTATTTGTAGGAATAGCAGGAGACAGTCTTGCATTGCATAATTGTCCTTTGACAAACATGGAAGAATGCACCTAAACCACTTAGTTCTGTGCAGTCTGACTGCCCAAGGGCAGCTCCTGCAGGTTAATCCTACTTAGGAAGGGACTTTATGATCCCTCCAGTGAAATACCGTTTCATGTATTTCAGCAATTTAGCAGCAATCGGGTCCTGACTTTGTCTACAAAGTCTACAAAGAGTCTGAGGCAGTCACCAGTTCAAACCACTGTCTGAGCGCATCACTCAGAGTTTCTGGAAGTGCGTTCACATCTCTAAGGATCATGTAGAATGGGAATGGGAATTCTTCCATGTAAGATCTGATTTCAGGCAATTCTCCAGGTCCTTTGAATATAGGTACTTTAATGTCCAAAATGGAATCCTGTAAAAAAGTATTTATGTTACTGCTAAATGACATGCATGGCCACTGATATAATTTTTCCTATTTTTCAAATATTTATAATTTCTCCCATTAGATTAAAAGTTAATAAAATACTTCTGAGATTAAAAGCTGTAAGTGTTCAATGGTAAATCAGATCAAAAGTTGAACACAAAGCAGTTAAATACTTTTGCCCTTTTAGATAAAAGTGCCCTAATCCATGAATTATAGGCTAGAAGAGACTAAGTTTAAGTTGCTGCAATACCAAGTTCCGTAAATATTGCCTTTCCTTAGCATTTTATGAGTCGAGTTTACTGTTACCACTTCAGTTTTAAATATTTGATGCCTTTCCAACACTCGTGTCTTTAAGCTCTTTAGGGCTGAGTTCAACTTGTATTTGTGCAGTGCTCTAATACAAGATTCTTTAGCAACTTACTTCATAATATTTCAACAAATACTACAAAGACAAAAATCAGATTAAACTCCACCTGTGCTTCTTGTAAAGTAACTTCTTAGTTGCTCAGTGTAGCACCTCAGAAAATTAATGAAGCTTATGAAAAAACACCTTTTTTCTCCCCAGAAAAAACACTTACGAAAAACACCCATAATTTTTGCTTGATATTGGGCAACAGTATCTGAACAGCCAGGCTTCATCAGAACAGTTTGTCAGCAAGGGAACTGTTAGTTTTTCAACAATAAATATAGCAGATGAGTTTTGTATGAAAAAATAGAGGAAGAAAATGTGAACTACAAAATTAGTCTTCACCACATAATTCAAAGTAAAGCTTAAGTTTCCTCACTTATTGCACTCAGTCTTCCTGAAAAGCTCCCAAGTATTTCAGCTTCCCAGCCAAGGATATCTAACAGGTTTTTTTCCCCCAACTACCAGATACAGAACTCAACCTTCCCAATTCAGGCATTAAATAACTCTCACATACTCCCTTCTGTCTATGTTTAAACTCATATTGGCTCCAGCTGTCATGTCAAATGGAGACTGCTGTCAGAAATTATCAAGCTGAATCAGAACTGTGATGGAACAAAGCATCTCTCAGACTCCAAATCTGTCAACCTGCCAGCTACTTCCCCGGTGGCCAAGATCTACAACCATTACATTTGAAGATGGGAGCTCTTACTTAGCCTTTCTGTGGCATGGAAGCTGAGGTTTTTTTAAGTACAAAAGAGGATAAGAAGCACAGTAGGAAGAAATCATAGATCTGACAGATGTGACAAACTGAGATTGGGCTAAATATCTTTAACCTATACAAAAGATAAGGTAGTTGTATGGCACTACAAAAGACAGGAAGAAGATTTGTATCAGATTCTCATTCACTGCAGTTGAATATGTTTCCCTTGCTCCCTTACTTACCCTGGAATTAGGATTGTCCAACACTACGAAAATAACAAAGATATTGGCATTCCGAGCTGCTTGAACTGCTGCTGTCACTCGTTCCTTGCCTTCCAAGAAAAGGCCTCTTCCATCAGATACAATCAAAAGCAGCTGCGCTGTTTCTGAGCACAAAGGACATTTCAAATTTAACTAAGTTAGTTTAACTTGTTCAAAAGGAAAAAAAAACCCTATTCTTTTGTTTGCCCTGTGGGTATAATTGAAAAAGGAGTATTCCTAAGGAAATAAAGTCTTTATCAAATAGAATTCGGTGACTTAAAAAATTGCTTAGCTGCAGTTAACAGTGGATCAAGAAAGAACATACTGGGTGACACCATTGAGAATACTGGAGGGAGGGGAACCCACCATCCATCAGTAATATAATCAAGGATGAAATGCATGGAAAATGCAGTCATGGTCTTGTCTTTCATGCCTGGTAAGTGTCCAGGGGTTGAATACTGGCTGTACCATAAGAGTCCAGCCACTAGGCTCAGTAGAGCACCTGCTGCTGCTATGAAATAGAGCCCAAACCTATTCCTCCCAAAAGCAGGTACCTAATGGGTTCATCTCTATTAGCATTTCATCCTGGACTAAAACTGGGCTTTTGAAACGTTGTCCTGTTGTCCCTATTTTAACAGGTGTGGCTTCCATCAGAGAACAATCTTGGACTGCCCAAAATGGGTGATTTTTGGATGAAAGTAAATAAGAAGATTTGCCTCAAAGGCACAGTCAAGGCAGTCAACCACTGTAGAGCATTGAGCCCCTGGGACCAAAGGAGATAGTCTGAAGTAAACCTCCTGAAACATACACCGCACTGATGCTGGGTTCCTCAGCACCAGCCATCCTCTGGAGACACATTATTTAACCCAAGTTGCCCCCCAAGTCAGAGATATATTCCTGTAAAGGAACATTCTAACTTATGTATCTTTCATCTTTTAATTACATGGGAAATCACAGTAATTACAGTCCAGAATGCAAGCCCCAAGGGTTACGGAAGGATGCAGAGCACACTTCTGCAGACAGGCCCCAAATGTGACAAGGCTTTGTCTTTTTACAGAAAGGAGTAATGGATCCTTCTGCCTTTTCTCTTGCCAGCTCCCCAGTTCTAGCAAGCTGATTGCTGCTGCATCCCAGCCTAAGTCAAAAGGACTGGATGCTGCTCCCTCTCTGAATATTCGTACAGCCTGGCCACCCTGTGGCAAAGGAGTGGATTTTAAATCCCTGACTGTCCATTTCTTGGATTACTTTAACAAGAACTTATAAAAAATACAGGTGCCTCTGTGATGAGCTTTTAACTATCACAAAGCAGTTTCTTCGACTAACTGTGGGTCAGATGTGAGACAAGCAGTCTTCCAGCTTTTCTAGGAAATTCAAGCAGCTCATGACCTAAACTTGAAGCAGGTAGGAGGCAAACGCCCTCCTCAGAACACTGTGCTTCTGGGTACTTAAGAGAACTCAAGCTCTCAAGGAAGAACAGAAGTGTCTGAAGAGTCAAAGTCACTAGGAAGCTGGACAGTGCTCTAAGCTGGGAGTGTCTAAGACTAAAATACAGTCTGGAGACATAAGGTAAAGGGAGACATGTAATGTGTGCCTTTTTAAAAAGTCTTAAAATTTTAGTGAATTATTGACAAATATGAAGTAGGTGTCTCTTGGGTTTTGAGCTACATTTCAACCAAACATTCCTTTTGACAAAGCAAAACCCAAAGCCCTAATGCAAGTCATGTTTCAGTGCTAGGAGCCTTCCTGGCAGGATCCTACTTTGGGACTGTAGTGAGCATTCTGCTGCCACAGCAACAAGCATAGTAACAAAAAAAAAGCTCACCCGGATTAGTATTTTGAGACAACTGCTGTGCTGCAGCAAACATATTTGCTGACGATTCAAGAAACTGCAGAGGAAACAAATAAGAAGATTAAGTTATCTCATAATAAAAATAATAAACTTAATGAAAAAATTTTAAAGAACATATTTCTTTATTTTAAATGCCAAGATAGTCTGACCATCCAACACAGACACAGTCCTTGGCATTTTCCTATATTAACTCCTGCTTCGAACTTAATAAGTATTTTTGAACTAAAGAATCTTCAGAGAAGCCTTGGAACTGGATTTAAATTTTTTCCAATGCTAGCAAAGCCACTGAAACAGTCGAAGTGATTAATGGAATAATTAAAAATATATATCCTATTTCTAGTTTGAACTTCTTTGGTTTCAACTTGAAATAGAAGTATCTAGTTTCATAATCCCCATTAAAATTAAGAAAATCAACAGTCAAGTCCTCCCAGTTTTGGTTTATAAGACTGCCATTGAGCTATTTGGGTCTTATCTGTTTCCATTTAATATTAACAGAAGATCTTATTTGAGTTTGGAAAGGTAAGAATGCAAAAACCTTCCTAAAGGAAGACAACTTAGCAGCTCTCTGGAAAGTATTAGTATAGAAAGTTATTTTCTTCAGGAATCAGTCAAGTCTGACAAACTTCCTCCTCCTCCTACTACTGTGGAATCCATGGCATGA